GTCCTCTAGGTTTCTTGCCATGCTGCGGACGCAAGCTTCAGACGAAGAAGTGAATGATGTATGCTCCCGGCGCCTATTTATACTATAGTCGCACCGGTAGTGACGTCATGGCTGTCGCCGGTCAACGTGTTGTTGGTGTTTTTTCAATGTATGCTTCAGACACGGGTCACGACGAGGCGTTCCCCCATAGCGACCCCTAGAGGACGCAGTGTCTCGTTCCCTACTCAGGGAACCATGGTTACATAAGTAACCTGAGACGTTTTATTCTGTGAAACCCTACTACGTATATGGAATAACCCTGTTTTAAAAGCAATAAGCCCCGTGAAGCTGTGGTTTACAGTGAATTTATAACAGCTAAGGGGGATTTAGGCACTCCGCTTTGCGTCATGCCTAACAACGCCCCTTAGCTGTTATAAATTCACTGTAAACCACGGCTTCACGGGGCTTATTGCTTTATTTGAATATAATTTTGTGTGACTTAAAGCAATAATGGATAATTTACCTCAGGTCTTGAAAATAAATTAAAGGAAACATAAAAGTTCAAAATGTAATAAACCAGCAAATGTATTCAATAACAGAAATTGTATCAGTCACTCAAAATATTTGTAACAATTTTAAAATGTTTTTTATATTTATGAATTAGGTGCTTATCCATTTCATTGCGATGATGGAAAGAACCCGCCCATGCGCTCGTCTGTTTGGCTGTGATTTTTGATTGATTTTGTTGCGGCTGGTGTGGACAGACAAATTGCTTGTCACTGGAATTTCATTGCATTGCATATCGGGTTAGGAAAATGACAAGGACAGACTAATTCAGACCAGTACCCCATGTGCTTTTGATTCGTAAAATGAACCGAGTCATACGAATCATTCATACACTGTAATTGTGTTTGTTTCTTGAAGTTGTAAATAGATTATTGTTCACACTTTATTTTAAGATCCAATTCTCACTATTAACTAACTATTAACTATGACTTTTGCCTCAATAAACTCCTAATTTGCTGCTTATTAATAGTTAGTTGTTAAGTTTATTTATTGGGTCTAAAATATGGTCATGCAGAATAAGGCATTAATATGTACTTTATGAGTACTAATAAACACTACTTGCTGTCATATGAAATATGTGATTCTAAGTATGTTTCTGCAAAACTGAAAAAAAAAAACATACGAAATGCTGCAGTTTACAGTTGAAATGAACACTAGAGGCAGTAAAACTCTGACAGGCTTTATTCCTTTTCACACAAAGTATGATTTGCAGGTCCACAGTTTTGCTTAATAAAGCCTAATTTTAGCACAATTACTTGAAGAACATTACGTTATTAATTCAAAAAAATTTTAACATGTTGTGACATTTGAAAACTGATACCTTCGAAGGTTAGCGTCACATATCCAGCTTCATATATATGGGTTTTCATGTTTAGTAGGTTTGCTCGGTATCTCACGCAGTATGGAGTTGTGCTTGAGAGGTGAAGCGCTCTGGTACGAAAAAAAAAAAGAAAGTTTGACAAAACAGTTCAAACCTGCATATGAGGAAGTTCAAATGGCATGGTTGCATCAGTGAATGTGTTTTTATATCAGTTTTGCACTATCGGGTAGGTTTAGGGTTGGGTTTGGTGTAGGGGATATTTCCAACACGTTAGAGCATTAACTTTTAGCAACACTCCCTGGATATTTAAATTATGAACCACCGCAATACATACCTGAAGCAACATAATAAAAACACAGCAATACGTGCCTATATCAACGTAACAAAAACGTACCAGGGTCACGCCACTCACTGGACGTTTCACTTTGAAGTAAGGTACGTAATAACGATGTTGCAAAAGCGTACTTAGAGGCACGTATTTCCTTTGAGACCAGGTTGAATAAACAGCCAATATGCTAGTAATATGCATGCTAATTAATAGTGAGAAGTGGCCTTTAAAATAAAGTGTTACCAGATTAGTAGTTTTTCAAGTTGCATAAAATTATTGGAGTAAATTTGTCAAGAAAAAAAAAACGATTTATTTAAATAATTCTAGTGTAATTAATTGTGAATTTACTAGCTTTTCTTAGTGACATTTTTTCTACACTTTTTTTCCAGTGTACTCTATGTGTTTACAAATTGGACTACACTGCTTGCACTTTGTTTGTTGTTACTTGCAACTAGGAAAGACAAGACAATGCAAAGATTGTGTTGTGGCATTCAGTTTTTCTCTCTCATTACATTCAGTTAAAACCGCAAGTTCACAACTCGTCTAAAACTCTTGCATCATCTTGCAGCAGCTCTATAGATTCAGTAGTGACACATCACCACTAAATAGTGATGTGAGAAACTTAGTCCGAGTATTTCAGGACGCTGTTCGATATGCATTAAAAATGCAAACTTTCAACAATCATTAACGGAACCAAAATCATTTGGATCCAGTATTTTAGTCTTTTAGTGGAACCGACTTTGAATAAGAAGCAATTTCCAGCCTTAATCAGAGTCTTTATCCTAACATAACACCAAAGTAAATTAGTCTCTCTCAAATATAATTTTCTCTAGTACCATTTTAAATATTTTCTTTGGCTCTGTGCTGAGGCGCCACCTCACAGAATTAGATGGAGGAAGCTATTAAAGACACGCAGGGGTTGAAGCTGTTTTCACAACCCTTACAGGCACACATTAGCAAATGATACCCTCAAAACCATACGGCATAATAAAGCAGGCCAGGGAGTAATGAAATGTTTTACCTCATGTAAGGAGACAAATAGAAAAGACACTTCATGTGCCCACGGTGAATCTTTGGGGAGCGCAAATCTGCCACACATTTCATTACGCATGAAATCTCCACTGATATGTGTGCGATACCTGTCAATTTGAAACAGTCTACCGAAACTAGCAGCCATGCAGTTTATGTATTGGTTGGATGGAGTTAGAAGTTCTCTCTTGACTTTAAAAGTTGTGAGATGTGTTTGTTTTGTTGTTTACTTACTCCAGTTGCATGAATGATTGATAATGATTTACGGTTCAACAGCAATTTAAAGTTTAAGTACTGTGAAATGATCAACTAGTGTTCGATGGTGTTAAAAATAAGACTTTATTTGTGTAAGAAGGGAATTCATTGGTATTGCAGCTAAGACAGCAGGTATAACAAAACTATTTAGTGAACAGTTGGTATAAATATATAGTTCAGTCATGAAACTCTAGATGGCGCAGGCGACGGGTTGATAACGTAACTGATGATATTCAGAGAGTTAAACGACATGGCACAAGCTGATTGGTTCATGCTGCATATGCAGCCAATGAGCTTACTGCCTTGCATTTATATGGCTGGCTAGCATTCACTAGAGATTCCTGCAGTGCTCTTTCAGAGTTTCTCTGAAACCCTCCACCTTCCCCAGCTCCACCTGTATAGATCTGCCACGGGTTATTTTATATGCTATTTGTGCAGCAGCAGTATGTCTTAAATACTCACGGCACCATATCGCCGTATGCATTGGCAGTAGCAAGTTCCTGTACTTGCTTGCAGCAGCAGCAATAATCTACAACTACAGCAATAACCAACAGCAGCAGCAATTCAGCAGCAGCGTAGCAGATCTATTCCGCCAAGGCCAAATACATTAACATTGTCATATCCATCACCGTGCTAAAATCTTCAGAGAGTTGTCATGATTGAAATGTAATATTACTTGTCAGAAAGACAGTGCTAATTATTCTTAATTTTCTTAGTATTTTTTTTTTCTTCATAAACGTTTTCTTCTGGACACCAATGGGATTTAATTACTGGGGGAAAATGCATCTTAAATCAGCCTAAGGTGGTTTTCTGGTCTGCCAGTTGTCTATTTTATGTCTATTTTGTTTCTCCTAAGAATTTTAAAGAGAAACATTTGAGACAACGTTGATAGCGTAATGGGACACACAGTAAGAGTAATACAATTATTGTCTGGAAAGGATAATCCAAGAAGTAAATCCAATATTATTGCAGCTAGAGCAAGACAGCAGGAACTACTGATGAGAAATGAGAACGAATAAAACCAGACACTAAACAACTGGCATGAATACAAAATAAATGTTTTCACATATCAGAAAATACCAGACAGTTGTCTTAATTCTTTTCTACATTGTCATTTTTCAAACATGTCCTGTCAGACAGGAAGCTCCTTCATGCTAGTAAGCGGCAGTTCAGCTGAAATGATAAAAGCACAAAAGCTAATTATTCATCTCTGTCCAAAAATTATTCAGGTTAGACACAACCGCTCAGCAAAAACGGATGTTTCATTCTGCAAAATGCAGATTATTACATGAAAAATGGTCTGTTTTTTTGCAAGTTGCTTCTGAAAGAGAGAAAAAATATAAATAAATAAATCTTCCAAAACCACCTAAGGTGCTTGGCTGGTTATAGAGGGGGCTGATCAACTAAACAAGCTTAAACCAGCAAACCATCTTAGGCTGGTTTCTTTCTGCAGGGGTTACTGCAAACATGTTAATTTGGTGACTGCTGAGCTTTATCAGTTTGCTCAGTTTCCCTCATTTCGAACATATCTTTAATTCTTCTTCATGCTATTGTTTAAAACATTATTGCTTTGGCACACACTGATAGTGAAAAGGGCTAAGTAGCGGCCTGAATATTGAATACTAGCCTCCGGCACTGAGCCGCACTGTGACTTTCTTCTTCACGAGAAGAAGGTGGGAATGTTAAGTGCAGGTAATTATTCTCATTTGGAAATGCTTTAACTTCGGCCAGGCTGATGTGTTTCAGAGCTTTTGAAAGAAATAGCAGGACAGGGAAAAGCAGGTCATCATAATTAATATCACTCAGAAGCAAACCCATAGAGAATAACCCACAGACGGCCACAGTTTAGCAACTTTGCCTTCCCTACTTTTACACAGCGATAAGCAGATGTTTAGCTTCAGCGTTATGCTGGAAAATCTGTCAGCTGGTTGTTTGTCATGAAATCAGCATTTCTTTAAGAGCTTGCACACTGAAACATGATAAAGGAACATCCAAAACAGCAAGACCACAAACCAAAGACCCTCTTTCACAAAAGCCAATTTGATTGTGTATGTTGTGGTAAAATGATTTTATTTAAAAAAATAAATAAAAAATAGCTTGTCAACTGTATTTTAGCCAATCCTGAGCCGAATGAAGGTGAAGGTAAAGGTGTGCGTGTGTCTGTGTCTGTGTGAAAGACACGCTGAAGTTTGCAGTTTTCTAACTTATCATTGCATTGTTCACTGGCTCCTTTCCTGAAGGAACTCTCTGTTTGTCCATCATCCCTGTTTTTCTTTGGTTTGACTCTCTGTGTATATGAGATGAGCTGCATGTGGACTTTGAATGAATCAAGACTTTAGATAGTTGGATAGTCTGTGCAAGGGAAGAAATTATATACATAAATATATATATATATATACAGTCGTGGTCAGAATTATTGGCACTCTTGGTAAATATGATCAAAGAAGGCTGTGAAAATAAATCTGCATTGTTAATCATTTTGATCTTTTATTTAAAAAAAATCACAAATATCTAACCTTTCATTTAACTAAAACAATTGAAAATAGGGGAAAATATCGTTATGAAATAAAAAAAAATTTTCTCAAATACATGTTGGACACAATTATTGGCACCCCTAGAAATTCTTATGAGTAAAATATCTGTGAAGTATATTCCCTTTCATTTTACAATTTTGAGCACACCAGGGTGATTATGAAAATGAAATTATCCAGCCATGGCTTCCTGTTTCACAGGAATATAAATAGGAGGGAAAACAAAGGCCAAATTCCCTTAATCATCCATCACAATGAGAAAAACCAAAGAATATATTTCTGATGTGCAGCAAAAGGGTGAGGAGGAGAGTTTGAGTGGCTAAAGACTCTCCAAGGACCACACCTGGAGAATTGCAGAAGATAGTTGCGTCTCAGGGTCAGAAAACCTTTAAAAAAACAAAATCAAACAGCACCTACACCACATGTTGTTTGGCAGGGTTTCAAGAAAAAAAATCAAGAAAAGAAAATGCTCTCATCCAAAAACAATCCCCAGCATATTCTGTTGTCAGACACGACTGGAACTTCAAATGGGACTGGCTTCTATGGTCACTAAAAAATGAGCTTTTTAGCAGCAAACACTCAAGATGGGTTTGGTGCACACAGGAATAAAAAGTACCCCATGTGTACAATTAAATGTACTGCTGTATTTTTAATGTTGTGGGCCTATATTTCTGCTGGAGGTCCTGGACATCTTGTTTAAATACATGGCATCTTTGATTCTATCAAATAACAACAGATAAAAAATCAAAAAGTGACTGACTCTGTTAGAAATCTTATAATGGGCCATGTTTGGATCTTCCAACCAGACAATAATCCAAACACAAACCTTAAAAACAACACAAAAATGGGTCACTGGACACAAAACCAAGCTTCTGCTATGGCCATTCCAGTTCCCTGACCTGAACCCTATAGAAAATAACAATGCAGATTTATTTTCACAGCCTTCTCTGATCATATTTACCAAGGGTATTTAAAATTGCATTTAAAAATATTTCACAGTGAAAGCAAAAATCTGATATACCTTCCCTTTCTTTTCTTATAAACATATCAATATAAATTGTAAACTAAACTCGTGTATTTTTATGTAATAAGCTGATAATGCATTTCATTTTTTGTTCAGGTTCAGAACTGATGCCTAAAGCTCTCTCTACTCGAATCATTGGAGGAATCTGGTGGTTCTTCACCCTCATCATCATCTCCTCCTACACAGCGAATCTGGCCGCTTTTCTCACTGTAGAGAGGATGGATTCGCCCGTGGACTCAGCCGATGACCTGGCCAAACAGACCAAAATAGAGTACGGCGTAGTCAAAGATGGAGCAACCATGTCCTTCTTTAAGGTACAGCCCTCTGAAATGATCAAGATTTTTTAAAAGTCTGTAATTTTGACACATCACAATGGCATTTCACTAATATCATATTCACTGTTTGTGATATATTTGACATGTTATTTATTTCTTGAAGCCTGACACAGGCTTTTTGTCACCCGTGTTGAGAACAACTGTAGAATGTTAACAGATTTCTGAAAGACAGCTTCAGCTAACTTTTCAAAAAAAAAAAAAAAAAGGAGCAACTTGTCTATTCTTGAGTGGTGCAGAGAGAAAAAAAATCAGTACAATTCCACAAAATATATTTTTTAAGATTGTCCAGTTAGATCGTAATTCCCACTGTAAAAGAAAAATCTCCCGTGCTCTCACTTCTCTTCCATGTGTGATGTTTTCCTTCATAATGATTTTTTTTATTCCAAAGTTTCAACTTTTGCCTGCAGGGTTTTACTTTGTTACGGCTTTCAGTTTTCACGCTCAGATGCTGTAGTGCCGAGCAGAGAAAAAAAAATAATAATTGTTTATATATATATTTTTTTTTTACCAAGTTTCTGAGTGACAGAAAATCAAGGTGACTTTAAACCAATGATTGCATATTCATACATTATTTCAAAATATAGACTGCTTTCATCTTTTTTGCTAATGTTGAAATATTTTCATATACATTTTCCATAAATAACCATGTTCCAAAACATACCTTAGCATTTTCGTTTTATTTTTGAGTTCAAAATTCTTAAATTTCAATTCTATTTTTACACTTTAAACGACACAGTGTATGAATCTAATGAATATGATTCCATATGACTGACATTTAGCGTGCATAGTTTATTTGATTCTGCATCCTTTTTGTCTCCTGAAGTGTATGATTGCAGCATTAGAAATGAAGATGACAAAAACAGATGTTTGCAATTAAAATATAAAGCTGTCACCGCCTAAACACCTTCAGTTCTTCTTGCTTTCTGAAACATCAGATGTGGTATTACAGCTAGCAGACCTGGAACATCAAATGTTAATTTAACATTTTATCAAGAGTAATCAAAGAGCACTCACACTTGTTCATTTCCTTGGGTCATTTTAAACGTTTCATGGAATTGAGCCAACAATTATCTGTGATTAGCTATGGATTCTAACGTGACCTCCTTTATAAAACCATGAAATGTCATTTAAACTGAGTGCTAATCGTGATGTTAAAGTTTCATTATCTTGAGACAGCAAGCTACACACACACACACACACACACACACACACAATTGGTTCTGCTTCTAAATCAGAATGTATTTCTTTATAAGGAGACTCAATATTCAGAATAGCATACTACAATTTCTGCAGATATAATATACTGTCCTTAGTATGTGATTTTTTTGTATGCATGGAATACCAGGGTGTTGAATATTTGTCAAAATGTGTAGAATGCATCTTGAGCACACTTTGACAAATACCCAACCCAGGCTATTGGAAAAATGTGACTCTGCCTACATTTACCTATGCATACATGTACTGTACCTATGCATACATTTCACTGCAGTTTCCAGTTGAAATGAACACTAGAGGCAGTAATATGGCAACAACTTGTATTCCCTTTCACACAAATTATGATTATGGGGCAAATTATTGATAAAGAAAGACCATACTTGATTTGGAAACAAATATATTTTGACATTTGCATTACATTACCAGCTCCATATGTATGGCTTTTTTTTTTTTAATGTAGTAAACTTGCTCGGTAGCCCACCTGGTACAGAGTTGCGTTTACAAAGTGGAGCACTCAGGTATGATTCTGTTAAATACATGATACAATACAATACAAGTCATGATAACAGAGCTCAATGCCTCATAGAAGCAAGCTGAAATGGCATGGTTGCATTTTTATCTCGCATTTGCTTATGTAAAATTACCGATTAGGTTTAGGGTAGGGCTCAGTATAGGTGGTGCTTTAATTTTAAATGTGAGATATAAAATTTACGTAATGCCATGATACGTACAACAACCCACCCATACTGCTTCGCATATTAATTTCAAAAATATAATTGGCAGTATATACTGCAAAGTAATCAGTAGGTAATAGGCTAGTTTTCAGTCTGCCACGTTACGTACAGTTAAAACAAGCACAGCTGTGGTGAAGGCAGAATTATAACTGCCATAATCCAGTGTACACAGTAACTGTTTAATCTAGGAAGTGTCAGCTGTATCACTCCAGTTGCTTATTCATTCTTGTGCAGTCCAACGTTGAAGCCAATTCCCAGCCACTTTCAATTATATTGAGAGACACCGGGGAAAATAGCGTTTGAAGGGGGAGGAACAATAACAGGTGCTCAAGGTTAAGAGAACAGCGCAAACACCAGCATGCCGTAGTGTGAAGCTGGAAAGTGTCACTGTAATGGAGCCAAGGCTCTGGAGGGGGGGGGATGACTTTTTTGAGGTGTTTGAGGATATTGTGCATGTACAGTATGTTGGAACTAGTACACCTTCTACTCTATGTTATGCTTGTAACTATGATTTTCTGTTGGAAGATGGAAAAACACGGTCACAAGTCACAAAACAATTGTGAAAAGAAGCATGTTATGCAGGGAGGCTGATATTTTTGTTAAAACCATTTCAGGATAAACACACATTCATAGATTCTTATGAAATGGCATAACAGTATGCAATTGTATACATTATGGATACAAATTAGCATGCAGCTCCAGTTTTGCAAGAGTTGGTTATTTTACACAAAATAAGCACAAGGAAAATTGTTTCTGCTTGATCAGCGAGCGTTTAACAGACACTTTTATTCAAAGAAACACACAGTACATTTATTAACGGGTTCAATCACTCTGGAGTAACCTGAGGTTAAGTGTCTTAATCAAGGGCACAAAGGTGGTAGCTCATGAATCTCCCCTTGTGCACCATCCTTTCACGTATCAACCTGAATCTTTAACAACAATGCCACACCATCCTACTGATTAACATAAGATCAGTGGAAACATGTCTCTCTTCCTACACTTCGCAAAATTAAAAACATAAAGGTTTGCATATCATTTACTACAGTTTCAAACTAAAATGGACACTAGTGGCAACAAATAATGTATTATTTGTGCAAAAAGGAATATAATATCATAGCATAATACATTTAGACATTTGTATCACATAACCAGCTCTATATGTATGGCTTTTCCAGTGAAGTAAACTTGCTAGGTAGCTCACCTGGTAAAGCACTGTACTTGTGATGCATGAAAAGAGAGAAAAAGCTTAAAGACTTATAAGCATATAAGAAAGCTATAATGGCATGGTTTCTTCAGCAAATGTGTTTTTATCTCACGTTTTAGTTTACACTATCGGTTGGGTTTAGGGTAGGGTTTAGAAGAAATGTAATATCATTTTGCTCAAATGTTGCCACATGCATTTTTTTTCAATTAGTCTGAGGTGTTATTGATCCCCCTTTAGTTTTACTTTTAAATTTTCCATAGATACAGTGGGTACGGAAAGTATTCAGACCCCCTTCAATTTTTCACTCTTTGTTATATTGCAGCCATTTGCTAAAATCATTTAAGTTATTTTTTTTTCCTGCCACATGCATTTTTTTTCAATGAGTCTGAGGTGTTATTGATCCCCCTTTAGTTTTACTTTTAAATTTTCCATAGATATATTGTACTGACCACCAACCAGAGTGATTTCCAAAGAATGCAAACGCTTGCTACTTTTGATTACAAATTAACAAAAAGATGCTTCTCTTTTTCAGAAATCAAGAGTGTCTACATTTGAGAAGATGTGGGCTTTCATGAGTAGCAGGCAGAGCACGTCGTTTGTCAAGTCCATTGAAGATGGGATTCAGAGAGTGTTAAAGTCAGACTACGCCCTTCTAATGGAGTCAACGACCATTGAGTATGTGACACGCAGAAACTGCAATCTCACGCAAGTCGGCGGCATCATCGACAGCAAAGGTTATGGCATCGGCACCCCAAAAGGTAAAACCACCCACCATTATGACAGATAATTCTGACTCTGATTGGATGATACACATTATAATCGGTTGTACTGTAGAATGGTAATATGTGCACACCTTTGACTGTACTTTCTACTTTTTATCTTACACAATTAAGATATATTTTGGTGGAAGAATTACTGTGTATTAAGTTCAGTTATATTTAAAAACAAATGTGACCACGTATTGAACATTGATGACAAGTTTTGGAGTGAAAAAAAATATATTTTTGGGACATCCCTCCAATTGTAAAAATAGGATTGTATATGAAGTATATGGAATGTCTCCATTTAGATAAAAGATAGAAGTGTGTGTGTGTGTGTGTGTGTGTGTGTGTACAGGTTTACATGGGTTATGAGGACACAAATGGGTATACTGTAATGGCATAGGTACTACAACATGAATATGGTTTACGAGGAAATGTCCTATGCCCTCATAAACCAAATGGCTTAAAAACAAAAAAATTGTGAAACTGTGTGTGTGAAATTGTGTACTGAATTGTGTTTTTTTTTTGTTTTCTTTTAGAGGGTAGGTTTAGGGGTAGGGTTGGGTTAGGGGATAGAACATCACCCATCAGTTGCAAAACTGCATGCTTATTATTTGGAGGGCACTTTTATGTGTCTGAACCTAAAAAAATTGAATGTAAGGACGTATTTAAATAATTAAAAATGTAATTGTTAAGTAAATTCAAGTTTGTTCTAAATAAGCAGATTGTTTTCATGCTTTTCACATTATGTAAGTGAAGCTGTGGTCACAGCAGACTTTATGCATGTGAATCAAAATTAAAGTTAATGAACTCTTACCTGTGAATATGCATAGCACAAAGATATTTGACCAATAGCAGATGTAAATACTGACCTCTTAGCTGAATTCATAAAACTTAATGGCTGCATAGTTTGCAGTGTTGAGGGCTTTGAAGTCATGTTACATGCTTAAAGCCTTGTGTGACTACAGATTTACACAGTATTTATAAAAAAACAAAAACAGTGGGTTACACCGTGTTTGTGTGTATATAATGCTTTGTTGAAATGCTACTGCTTTCAAGTGTGGTGTGTGTGTGTGTGTGTGTGTGTGTGTGTGTGTGTGAGAGAGAGAGAGAGAGAGAGAGAGAGAGAGAGAGAGAGAGAGAGAGAGAGAGCATTATTCCAACTTTCAGATTTATCAATTTATTAGTTAGTTGATAATTAGATGCCTTTCTTGAATTAAATATTTTGAAGAAGAAGAAAAAAAAAACTTGTCCTTAGTCTTCTTTGTATTCGAGTTTCCAATGAAGATTCTCATCTATTAATGAATTCCTTTCAGGCTCGCCATACAGGGATAAAATCACAATTGCCATCCTCAGTATCCTGGAAGATGGCCGTCTTCACATGCTCAAAGAGAAGTGGTGGAGCGGCAGCAACTGTCTGGAAGACGAGCGGTATGAAACGGGTCCCATGGGCATCCAGAATCTGGGCGGCATATTCATTGTATTGGCGTCTGGTCTGGTGCTGTCAGTGTTTGTGGCTATAGGAGAGTTCATCTACAAGATGCGCAAAAATGCAGAACGTGAACAGGTGAGATTGATTGGAAATTGATATTATAATACGATGCTTGACTAACAAAGAAAAACACAATTATTAGTTGCGTTTAGACTTTCAACCCAGCAACTGTAATGGTCTAGCAAATATGCAGAACTAAACATCAAACAATGTCCTACCAAACCTCCCAAAACACTCCCACAATACCCTAGCAACCACCGAAAAGACCCTAGAGCATGCCTAGCAAGGCCTTGTGCAGAGTCACAGATTTTAGACATCCTGAAATGAAGACGTTTGGCATGCTGACTAAAGCTGAGTGTTCATTCACACCTGATAACATCACAGAATGGATCTGTTATTTGAGAAAAGAGATGAATAACCGACCAAACATCAAAAAGCATAGGAAGCAAATCGCAAATCACTTCCTTTTTATGTAGACACATTTCACAGATAAGATGCCAGTGCTGGAGGTTGATATTTAAACCGCTTTGATCATGTATTTGAGTGTAAAAGCACACTCAAAAATGGGATTTTTTTTTTTTATCACACATCTCACCTCAAAATGAATTATATTCCCTACTGAACTGGAACATTGTGTTATTTTTTATCCACATGTTGGAGGTTATTTTAAGGATTGTTTGTGGTCTCACTGATTTAGAAGCAGCTATACACTGAAGACAAAATATCAATCTATTGTTCTGGTCAAAATAAACTTTAATATTTAAATTGCATATACGAACAACATGTAGCATACAAAAGAAAACTTGTCTTGAACATAGAGTTTACATACCTTTGTGTATCTTCTATATAATGCTATACTACTAAAGTTTGGGGTCAGTTTTTTTATTTTTTTATTTTTATTACTCAAAAGTGTCAGAAAAGACATATATAATAATACAAAATATTTCTATTTCTATTTCAAATAACTGCTGTTCAGTAACGTGAACTGCTGTTCTGCTATTTTAGTTTATTGTTTAAAATATTCTAAAAATATATTGGTTTCCACAAAAATATTAAGCAGCATTGATTTCAACATTGATAATAATAAGTAATGTTTCTTGACCACTAAACCATCATATTAGAATGATTTCTGAAGGATCATGTGACACTGAAGTCTGGAGTAATGATGCTGACAATTCAGCTTTGCATCACATGGATAAATAACTTTTTAAGATATATTAAAACAGAAAACAGCTATTTTAAATTGTAATAATATTTCACAATTTTACTGTATTTTTGATCAAATAAATGTAGCCTTGGTGAGCATAAGAGACTTCTTTCAAAAGCAAGGCTAGAAAAAAAAACAATTTAATATGCTGACACACTCACACACTGACGTACTTTTAGCTCTCTCCCAGAATGGCTCCCTCAGCTAATGGACGTGAACGTACTTACTTCCTCTTTTCTGTTTGTCCTCCCCCCCAACCATGTCCCTTTTTTTCCATCAAGAGGTCTTTCTGCAGTGCGGTGATAGAAGAGATCAAACTGTCGTTCACATGCGAGAGACGGGTGAAACACAAGCTCCACCGCCAGCCGCCAGCCATGGTGAAGACGGACGCAGTGATCAACATGCACTCCTTCAACGACCGTCGCCTGCCAGTAAAGGACAACATGAGCTGCAACCCCGCGATGACGCCCGTGTTTCCATGACTTGCCTGGGCGACGGCCACCTGAGGCACGTCCCCGGCGCCATGCCGGAGAGCAGGGACTACGGCCCCGAGATGATTACAGCATTCACCATCAACCGCAGAGACATCAGACACCAAATGGCCAGTCAGAACGGTGGCAGTAGCAACAAACCAGGTAGTGACCACATCCTCAAACCAATGTATCCCACCATGCCATTGCGAGAGGGAGGCCGATCGGTATCCTTCCTGTGAGAGCAAGCCACGTCTGCGAAACTATCCGCACCCGAGTCTGATGTTTACAAACAGCATTCAAAAGCGAAGCTCACGATCTGACTCGAAGGAGCCCCCCCGATCAAACGAAAATATATGTTTCTCATTGGAACAACGTGAAAATGTGGAAAAGAGGCTTTTTTTGAGCATGGCAATAAATGTAACTACGGACAGACTCGAATGGAAGTAGTTTTCTTAGAGTAACATTTATAGCACATCAAGTTAATTTCAAAGAGTTCTGACGATTTATCTTTTGATTTCGTCAAAATCATGTGGCGTTTTGGTGGGGACGCAACAAAAAAAGCGCAGTGAATGCGATGTACATTACCGGTTAGCGTCGGACCGTAGGAGCAGTTTAGTTTAACACGCTGTACCGGAGCAGCCAGCGTGACCTGCTAGAATAGTAGAAAACCCTTAGACTGCAAGTTCCCGAAGGCTACGGGGAGTGTAGCGGCATACTACGCTCACGGAAATGCACAAACTAACAGGGTTGATTTCATTCGAGCCACCTAAACAAATTGACAAACGAGTAACAATTCTGTACGGCAGTTTTGAGCAAGACTTGTCCCATTTTGATTTATTCGTGCTTCATACATTGCCAGCAGATGTTTTGTACACAGCGAGATCTAATGGTAATGACGGATAAACACAACAGTTGCCAAAGATCTGTCATCCAAATGGATGTAGACGCTTGAAACGCAGCTTCCCCTACAGACAAGAGAGCAAGTGACACGTTGCCTCCGCTGTGTTTGTTAAATTAGTTATTCCTGAGAATCACAGCCCTCGTATCAAGAATACTCGCTTCACACGGTACATACCGAGGATTCAACACAAACACAGAGCTTGCCGTATGGTGGAGAGCTAATACAAAGGAAACTAAACCGTTTTAAGATGTACATGAGTGAGAATGTCTCTCGCCGTGTCTCTTTTCGACAAGTCAGTTATGATTACAGTGGCTTTTTCCATTTGCATCTGCGTGAGACCTTTCAGTGTCAACGTGTTTGAATTACAGAATTTGTAAGTGGCGTACGTGGGCTTCATCAGAAAATTTAATGAGAAAACATCTGGATGTTTTTTTTTTTTATTATTATTCCATCTTTCATTCTTCTTGTTGTCAGTTTTTTTTTTTTTTTTTTTTAATCTTGCATTACTAAAAACAAACTCAATAAATTAGCTTAAAGGAATACACTTAAACTGAAAATCACATAGTTCCAACATAGTTATTTTTTTTTATTTATAATTTTTTTCCCTGAAACACAAAATAAGATGTTGGGCAGGATGTTTCAGCTGCACTTTTCTATACAATGAAAGCTGAAGGTGATATATATACTGCCAAGCTCAAAAAAGGTTAAAATGCACCTTAAAATTAGTCTAAGATGAGACATCAAAACCTGGCTCTGCCCTGACAGAGAGAAATATTATCTTGAAAAATTAATTTTGCATTTTGGCATGTTTCTCACAGATAGCTCTGATGTAGTTGCAAATAATGTACAAGTATAGACTAATTTTAAGGCCCGATTACACTAGAAACAATAACTATAACAATGACTATATTAGCGTCCACACCAATGGAATGATAGCTTTGACAAAAAGAGTAATGTTCTGTGTGCATGCAGTGTTGTCGTCGTCTGCTTTAAATGCTTAAGCTCTTAAGGGTGCTTTAAAAAAATGAAATCAACGCGACATGGCGCTAAAACATAAAACTGTTTACCTCAAGCTCTTATCCCTTCCTTTTTTGCCGCTTCCACTTTTTTCAGCACATATAAAAACTACAACTGCTAAAGTGTGATTTATCATGCTCTTTTTGTTTAGGATATCACTAGCGCATGCTGATGACGTTTTATTCTTATATAGTAACGTGCGTCGTATCGTACTGTACGAGTCAATAGGTGTCATCATCGTACAGTCTACACACATGTCATAGCCAAGTTTATGAGATCCATGTCAAACTACTGTATGTGACATGCAATTAACTTATAGGATCGCTAAAATCGTGCAGTGTGTCTCGTGGGTGCGCGTTCAGAATACAGTGATCCAAATGAACCAAACTCTGATGTCAAACAAATCCAGGTGCACACCAAAAGTCAGGTGGATTCTGATTGGCTGTCAATGTTTTTGATGTGTATCAGCTGGGGAAAAAAATGTTCTGAAAGTGATTCCAACGATATCCAACTTCCCTATCTTTATAGAATTCGAACAATAATTAAAACTTTAGTTATAGTTATCTTCTATGGTGTTGTGCCAATAGTGCCTTTATTGTTATATTTGGAGTTTGGCAGAATGAATAATCTCCCGCTTTTGTTGCACCGAAAAGAGTAACTGGACATTCTGGCAAAAAATGTGTTTTAGGTTTCACAGAAAAAATAATATTTACCCTTTTGAAATGACATTAGGATCAGTAAACAATGACAACATGTGGGTGACTCGGCCCAATAGAAAGTTAATTTGAAGTAAATTAATTGATTTCTTATATTTTTTCATGTATTTTGTACACTTTTTATCTGTGATATCATTCCTAAATCATCAGGTAGCTTTGGGTGGTTCCATGTTCCATGCGGTTAATATCGGTCATATTTTAATGCCATCATTTAGGTGTGCTTCATTTCAAAGTATTTACGCTGTTCTCAAATTCATTTTGCATGACTGTTCTCCTCCTGTATCCAAACCTGATGTTAAGATTTCAGATGATCAGGATGCTAGGTGTAAGAGGGTAAATGGGCTTTCACATTTGCATATTTGATTCTTCATTCAATAAAGAGAGTGACGGCTACAGTAAAATTGCAATACAAGCGTGTTGAACATCAAAACTGCAATACAGATGTACGGAACTGGACCTTCTCATCTCTGAACGTGACAATTTTTCAGCCGAGCATTTAGTGACAGTTCTTATAGGTAGTTGAATCCATGTGTCGTCTACATGTGGGAAACTCTACTAAGCTACTAAATGTTCTCATGATGAGGTGTAGGTGCTAAGAGTCTTCACCCGCTGCCCGCCCGCCCACGGCAGCTCGACCAATGACAGACCTCCGTGAGGTCAATCTAACGGACAGTGTTGAAAAACAAAGGCAAAAAAAAAGAAAAAAAGCATTTTGTGTTTTTATGGTGAATTATGTATCGATCAGAATAACTTCATGTGACTCGATGTTTCTTTGGTGAAAGCTCATTGTATATGTTATTCAAATTATGTGTAATTTTAACATTCTCTTGCAAAGTAGGGTATATATTAGATGAGAAAGCATTTTTGTGTTTTTATGGTGAATTATGTGTCGATCAGAATAACTTCATGTGACTCGATGTTTCTTTGGTGAAAACTCATTGTATATGTGTTATTCAAATTCTGTGTAATTTTAACACTCTCTTGCAAAGTAGGGTATATATTAGATGAACAGAAAATTACTGTATTTTGCTAAATACCGATGATTTTTACCTGTATTTTTTTCCTCAGCTCTTCTCTTCTTGATAAGTTGTGCAATGCTGTATCGAGTGTGGTACATGCATATTGTAATATAGAATCTACTCTTGAGAAACTACTAAAATGGAATTAAAGAATAATAATTTAAAGCCCTGGGCCCCAATTCCAGCACATTCAGTTCCATTAATAGAAGGAGTTGATGAGTGATGTATGTGAGACCTCCAGATATTCTGCAACATAATGTACTCATAGCAGATGTATATAAATAAGACATAGACTATTCAGAGAAGAATATGATGACCGGTTCCGTGTCATTTCCATCGCTTTCCATGAACACTCATAATGGATATTTGGCTTATTTATTTATTTTATCCCCCCCCTCCTTCCCTTATTTCTCCCACAGTGTTCAAAAGGCTCGATAGATTCTGTAGAATTGTCTACATTGCCAAGTCTATGTCTAATCACTTACTCAGTCCTTTCTCAAAAGAAAAAGAAAATTCTTCAGTGAAAATATATCATAGTATGATTCTTGCTCACTAAATAGTTTATTTGACAGGTTGTCTAAATACAGTTTTACAAAACAGACCCCTTCAACAAAATAAAGGAAGCTATATCATTAAAGATAAAAAATAATAATAATAAAATAAAATAAATAAGGAATAGTTCACCAAAAATGAAACTTTTCATTGCTGTTTTTCGTGTTGTTTAAAACCTGTTTTCAGTGGAACAAAATGGAATGTTTAGACAGCTATTTTCATATAACATAGCATAAAATAACATAACATAACATAAAAAATAAAAAAAATCTTGTGACAGTATTTCAAGTCTTCTGAAATTATATATCTTTTTTTTTTTTTTTTTATCGTTAACCTAATACAATTGACATATAGTGCTAAGTCATTTGAGGCCTATTGTACTAAGGCAATTTTTGGGCTACCTAAGTTGCTTTAAGCAAGAATTTTTATTTTTTATTTTTTCTCTCTCTGTCTCAAGAAGGATAAACTGCTCTGTTTTAGTCTGGGTAAGAGACTGAAAAACGGAAATTGGTGTGAATGTTTGCTGTATGAAAAATGACACGTCTGATGCAATAAGGTATATATTACTGTAAATTAAAGCCGTTTGAATGCATTGCACATGAGGAAATTTGACAATTAATATGACATTTTTAATATAAATTATGTAATTAAAAGATTTACATTATTGTAAATAAAATCTTTAGAATTAGTATAGAAATCTTTAAAAATGGCTAAAAGCTTACGTTTTCTTTTAAGTTTGTTGTGAACATATATCGATTACTAACTTAATAAATTTAGCTGATTCACTTTGACATAGTCGTATTGCATTTGTATAGTCGCTCAGCTGCTTTCAAGCTTTTGTGGCAGCAGTGGTATTACTTTCTGCTTTGTAAATGGAACAAAATGATAACTCAATCTTCCACACAAACATGAATTCCACCAAATCTGAGACGTGAACTGACTCTGTGTTCTATATGATTGGCTGTTTGGTAAACATGTCATACTTTTGGGTGCACATGCTTCAGAGTGAATCATAAAGTGTTCGGTTTGGTTTTCTGAAACTAGTAGTAGCAACAGGCCTCTGCATTACCTTTAATACATTTACATTTTTTATTTATTTATTTATTTTTGACAGACTTGGTCATTGTCAGCTTTTCTTGTAATGGAAATGAGCGATGTGAATATTTTCAAAACACTATAAAAAATCACATGAAGGTTATTAAATAATGCCAGAATTTATTCGTTTTTGTGTGAACTATTCCTTTACTCTCAATGAGGAGTTGTCACCTTGTGTGTAGCACTTTAAGGATGTTGGAAACTAAATGGTGGTAGATTACAAAATAATTATTGAATCGGATTAAATCATATATTTACACTGTGACACATTAATTGTAATTAATGACTTATTATCATTTGCAGGACCACAGACCATATTTATCACACATGCCTTCATATCTAACTGATGAAAGACCATGAAGTATTCCTTTCTATCTGTATTAATCGCATTACATTGAACATTTACTTTGGATATTGGAGCAATCAGTCCTATTTACGGAGCATAAACATCTATTTTATAAAAAAGAATGAAGAAACAA